CAGGTATTACAAAAACACTCTGACAGACATTTCTAGTGGTGGGGTACCCCTGACAGAGCTATGTAATTGCCAGACATTTGTAGTGGTGGAGTATCCCTGACAGGAGTTATCTAATATTTAGACCAAAGCTAGGCTAGATTAGCTGAAATCTGTACCACCTAAAACAGCTTTGGAGTTGTTCAGTACCACCACAGGAGTCATGAATGACCACTGCCAGACAGTTTATGCGGTGGGTTACCCCTAACAGACACGCCCCAAAATGCCACGCCCCGAACTAGGCTAGCTTCGCAGGCACTGTCCCCGTGTTCTAAAAAAATTAGATTTTTAGCCAGGATGCGTAGGATACTAATACCTAGCACGTATGGAAGAGGCGATAAACTGTGATTGCAAGAAATTGATTTTGGGGCAAAAAACATTTTATGGGGCTAAAAATGCGTTTTTGAAAAATAAAATTGTTCCTACAACCACAGTTTATCGCCTCTTCCAAATGTGCTAGGTATTACTATTCTACGCATCCTGGCACAATTTTTAATTTTTTGGACCACAGAAACAGTGCCGACTAATCTATCCTAGTTGGGGGTCTGTCTGTCTGGCGGTGGTCATTCATGATTCCTGTGGTGGTACTGAACAACTCCAAAGCTGTTTTAGGTGGTACAGATTTGAGCTAATCTAGCCTAGCTTTGGTCTGGAAATTAGATAACTCTTGTCGGGGATACTCCATCACTACAAATGTCTGGCAATTACATAGCTCTGTCGGGGGTACCCCACCACTAGAAATGTCTGTTAGAGTGTTTTTGTAATACCTGAAGATGTACTTTACATTGCTGTGCGATTTTCATGTGGTACACTTTTGAGCTAATCTAGACTAGTTGGGGGGCATGGCATTTTGGGCGTGGAATACCGCACCCACCACCAGAAACCCGGCAGACTTACATTCTGATGATACCAGATATACATACATTGATACCATATAGGAGAAAATTGGTACACTTTTCAGCTAGGTTAACCCTCTGGGCTCCTGCTCTATTGCTTAGCCAGACTAATATTTCAATCATGGCGAAATAGCTATAATTAGCCACTTCATGTGTCGAAAACGTGTTAACACTCGCTGAAAGTAAAACAAGTTATTTTGCTCATGGATTTATTTACGCACTTAAAGGAATATCAGTCAATTTTTGTGAAATTGTTATTTGGATAACGAATCGCGATACGGCCAGTGATTGTATCGTGCATCGTGGATTTTTAAAACATCGCGGTTCATCGATATGGATGAATCGTCGCAGCCCTACAAATTAAAACTTACCTTGCCACGCCCCTTTATTTATTGTTGTATTGATGATTTAGACTTGATACTATTACATGTTATTTTTATAAGATTGTAAATGATAATAGCTTCTTTTTGAACACATGTTTTGACTTTTAGAATTAGTAGTAACGAAGTATTAAGAGGTTTATATGCAAAAGTAAAATGTTCTTTGATTAATTAACTAGAAGTGGGTTAACAGTATCGTAATTTTGAAATTAACACATAAACATTCACGAAGTATTAACGGGTATATCTTCAAGTTTTTTGGTTTGTCTATACGTGTATTAAACCGATTATTAAGGGGGTATTTTATTGGTTTTAACGAAGTGCCGCAAATATTATGATATGCCCCGAAATTACGGGAAATATTTTATTTGTATTCCTTCAGAAGAATGGATTGGTGATATACCCTCAAAGAAAAAGGGTGGCGCTCACATTAGGAGAGAGAGAGAAGAGAGAGAGAGGATTTAACGTCCACTCGACACAAACTAGATCATTTCGGGACTAACATATGGTTCAATTTTATTTCCATAATTCGTTTGCGCGTAGGGGTCTTTAGCAGTGGGAGGAAACCGGAGGACCCGGAGAAAACCCACGAGGTTGGACAGGCGACCCTACTCCTTGTAACGTACAACCGGGGATTCGAAACCACATCAGTTAACTCAATGACAGGCCCCATGATACAGCGCGCACGTGCTAACCATTTGGCCATCCAACCCCCCGCTCAAATTAGGAGCGAATGTGATGTTTCGTTTTGTGTCTTGTTCGAAACTTAAAGAGACAAAGCGATGTTAATTTTTATAAATTCATTTATTAACCTTTATCGTGAGGTACAAACATTATGACAAAATCCTATGTAAATTCAATTGAGTTCACCCCCAACCTCTTTCCCAAACAGATTCGGTCATCACAGATTTGTGGAAAATTCGTTTTAGTTAAGCCCGTCGTACACGAGCAAAGAAAATTTGACAAATTTCTTTGACGGTCTCTTCAAATTTTCTTTGACAGTGTACGAAGCCAGCAATTCATTTGACGGCCTATCGTACACGAGCATAAGTTCCAAATCTTTGACTTATTTATTTGACGAAAAGCTATGCATGCCACCTTTTGGCAAATTTCCTCTCGTACACGAGCAAATTTCTTTGACAAATCTCCATTTGTCAAAGAAAATTTGCTCGTGTACGATGGGCTTTAATGATTGATTCATTCTGAAGATTCAGGTGACAAATAAAATTTTCGGGCAAATTCTTTAAGGATAAAAGTTATGTTACACAACCGGATCAATCAATAGTCGTAACAGTACACAATTTATCAATAGTTTATTCACGAAACGAAATAAGAGAGGTTTTAAAGGACCTAAGTCCGTAACTCAAAATCCTCCAAAATCTTCGACATCGAAAACACGAATTATTGGTCAATTTAAATCAACATTGATGATGTAAACTTACCGGGAAAAGATGAGCTTCTGATATCCGATATTTAAGATAAAATAATTTTTTTATCATTGGTACACGAATCGTGTACCATAATCACTATAAACCTCAGAATGCCTCGTTCGGCATTTCTGTCCAAACGAGGCAAAAACGTTTCAAAATTTGGTTTTTTAAATTGCCCTGTTTTTGGAACGAGGTATTTTGTTCAGAACGATGCTGGGTAAAATTGCCTCGTTTACTAAACGAGGTATTTTATCCAAGATTATTATTAGCTGTTTTTGCTGTCAACAAATATAGCCATACAAATAATGTTCGGACCATCATGTGACCAATTGCAGATTTACAAATAGAGTTAATTCACATGACGTCCAGGACGGAGGGGCTGACAAGGGAAGCTGTCTAGTCGTTCGGATGGGACGAAAAACCGAGGTCCCGTGTACACATTGGCGTGCACGTAAAAGATCCCTTGGCAGTTGGAATTCGATATAAGAGTAGGCCGTATTGCCGCTGTCCGGGCAAAATTTCCCTCATAGCACACTGTATGGCGTATGCCCGTCTTCATTAGCTCAGGTTAGGAGCAGAACAGTAGGACGTTAAACTCCATTTCATTTCATTTCATTTCACATGACGTCACACACATTGGCCGCCGCCATCTCGGTGGAGAACCAGACTACACGTGATCCGATAGTTACAATGTGATTGCAGTTGGAATTATGATTGTTGCGCTTTTGTCATGTGATTTTTATGTTGAATAAAGATTTTGTCTATGTATTTTAAATTTTATATTTAATTTCTATTAAAATCCGAATTCGACCGTGACATAACGCGTTTATAGCGACAAAACGATGTTTGTTTATAGGCTATAACCGGTATAAAATAATTTGTTTATTTAAAATCCGAATTCGATCGTGGCATATAACGCGTTTATAGCGACGGAGCGGTGTTGTGTTTGTTAATATGAAATAATATAAAATTCTGTTTCTACGGCGTTAAGTATTTTTTAAAAAATTACCATTATATTTATTTATATAGGCGAACTAGCTGCATCGTGTTTGTGTACCTACATGGATAATGTCTGACGTGGAAAATAATAAGTTAATAGGTTAGTTGCTGACGCGACATTTCGAGACCTATGTTAATTCAGTTTTTATTTTCATTTAATTTTTTTTCAAAACAAACCCATTAATTAAACACACACACACACTTATTATAGAAAATCGTGTGAGAAGCTGGATACCGTACGTAGGGTGATGATGAATCGAACGTTTGAAAAACTGTTCTGACTCACTGGATATATTTTCTTTCTTTTTTTGTAAATTTTAATTTGAGGTATAATAATTATTCACTGATTCGATATAATCATTTTATTATTTCTGTTATTCATCTTTAATCAAGAGGAAATATCGTAAAAATGCAGACTTTCCGCTGCGTCGCCAACTATTTTATCATTGGTTAGAGCCGTCTAAACGCCGTAAAATTTCCAGTAACTATTAGCTAACAGCGTGCAAGCACAAAGGCGAACAATCTTATTTGCATATTGCATACTTTGTAGTATTATTGGCTGGAATTAATTTTAGATCGATAACCTCAATGACCAATATGTAGTACCGTAGGAATATATAGTGTGCAGTTGCTAATAGAACTAATAGAATAATTTCACGTTAACAAAAATATTTCAAGCACATATTTACTTTAGGCATCGTGATTCCAGAACCGAGTATCGAATTCAGCAATAGGCTACTTATTTTTGTTGTCCAAAATAAAATTTTCATTGGACGATATTCGTGGATCGTTTACTTGGGCTTTATTTGCAGTCTGGGGGTTCGGGGTTTTCTTCTTTTTTTGGAGGGGGGGGGGGACAATTTTGTAAGAAATGACGAGAGCGATTTTATCTACGGAAGAGCGATGAAAAACCCGTCTAAAATGACATTTGAACGACAGCGATCGATCGCCTCAAACGTGAAGCGCTGTTACATTGCTCGATTTGATATAGATTGAATACGAAATTACATAATATATCATGTTACCTATCACTGAAAAGCATGTTTATTGCCCCTTTCAAGTATATAAATAATTTTCCAGGACAGTCATACACTGAAAAAAAACTTGTGTTGGATCTCAACACAAGTACTTGTGTGAAAATTATTCTACACAAGTTATGTGTTGTTTTGCATTGCATTAACACAAACTTGTGTTCTTTTTAATGCATTAACACAAATCTTGTGTTTTTTCCATATAATTAACACAAGTAATGTGTATCGTCAACAAATATTTTTTTTTTTAAATTTGAACTCCATACAAAGTCTTAATCCGGGGTCCACAAGTAAGAGAAAGGTATTTTTTACTCAGACAATATAGCCAGACAGACTTGAATGCTAATTGGTGTTAAGATGTCTGTAGTTAAAATAAAGTTGGGCCCAATAAACTGGTAGATCAAAGGCCTGTTGAGCGCTCATGCCCGGTGTGATTTTAACAATTGACTCCAAATGCGTTGACTAGAAAATAAGTAAAACTGTTATTGAATGTGATTGGTTGATAAAATCAACGTACTATAGGCTACATTTTGTCTGCGATATCATCTCGGTGGAAGCGGACATTAAATGAAGTGATTTCACACAATTAATTTAACATTTAACAACGTGCTGAAATGATTTTGGAGCAGTGATATGTTTGACAAATGTAAGCTAATGGTCACATAGAATACAAGACCGCAGGTTTGTGAATATTTATATAAAAAAAATAATACCATGTATGTAATTTAGCATCGATATTGTTTCTCTGTATAATGTTAGTATTTCGTTTCCTTAAAAAAAACTCCAACAATTTAAACCGGAAGTTCATGTTTATAATATGGCGCGGTCAGGAAAAAAATTTCGGCATGTTATTATCAAATCTGTTCAATTTTTCTGAAATCATGCATAATTAACATTAGTTGTTCGGCGCTACGATGTTGTTCAAATACTTACATTACAGAATCACATTATGATTAAAGCAGAAACGGCTCGACTTGAACCAGCAGGTAAGAATCTGTTTTGAAACTATATCTTGGGAGGTTGGATTGGCGTTGGAGACCCGATTGGCGGCCATTTTGATTCTTGTTTCATGATTTTTTTATATTATAACGATTTTGCCAAGAGTAGACGTAAACGCGGGCACAGACTAGAAAAAAATCTTTTTACACTTTTGTGTTAGTTGAATTGTAATCTAATTTATGTTTAAAAAAACAACCTTAAATCTAATAAGCAGACGGAAGATATGGACGAACAACAAGAAGAAGTTATGGAGGTCCCAACAACTGAAACTAAGGAAGTAGAAGAATCGTTTACAGCCGAAACCCGATACGATGTGCCAGTTCCGGTCATGGAGTCCTCCATCTCAGACGATGCCGACGTTAGTGTCTTCTGCGACGAAGAACCCGTAGTGGTGTATACGCAGGTAGAAGCTGGTTCCTCCCGTGGCAAGTCCAAGTTGTTTGACAACCAAGGGTTTAGTTATACAATTAAGGAAAGGTGATTTTTTTTACCTAGTTAACTACCTTGTATAGAAATGTATTTCAGCTACAAAATGTAAAGATAATTAACTCCCGTTAACCTAGTTAACTCTATAATAATAAATGAATTTAATATATTTTAGACAGAGAAGAAAACTACGATTTGGAGGTGTTCCAAAAGAAGCGGACCAACACGATGTCCGGCAACAGTAATCCAAGATGGTGATACATACCAACCAGGCTTAAAGAACCATCTTCACCCAGCAGAACCCGGTATACACACGGCACCAAGATAAAAGTTACAGTAGGTTTAAAAATTATATATCAATTAAATTAAAAATTTATATATGTGTGTAAATAAATAAAATATAAATAAACCAATAATATATTTGTAGTTTAATATGTTTTATCTTATCATTACAGGCAAAGCATGAAGCCAAAGGAAATGTTTTTACCAAGTCATGTTCCTCAATAGCGGAGAGAGTTTTATCCAGTGTCGGTTCTGCAGAAGAACCCATTCATAGCAGACCACCCATGGCAGCACTTGTAAGGTCGCTACAAAGAACCCGACAGACTCTGCGACCAAAAGATCCCACTGACGTGTTGTCAAGCGTAAGTATTCATGCAATTAAATACCCATGTATATAAGAATTTATTAACATGTAATTAAATGTACAATTTTATTTATTTATTAACATTTCATCGATCATAGTGCACCGGGATTTTATCAAAAAAGAGTAAAAGTTGGGGAAAGGCGCCATCACATTTTTTGTACTGATAGACAGATGCAACTACTCGCACGCGCAAAAACTTGGTATATGGATGCAACTTTTCGGGTGGTGAACAAGCCATGGTCTCAGCTGTTTTCCATCCACGCCTTCATTAAGACTGGAGAGACCACCCGACAGTTACCATTGGTGTTTTGTGTAATGTCGGGTAAAAGCCAAGACGACTATTATAAGGTAAATAGCACTTACTGATTGAATTACTATTAATAGTAAAAGGACTATTATTTGGGACCTTGAAATTGTCACAAATGGGTCGCACTAACAGCGACATTTGTTTCAGGCATATTTGTTTCATCGGTGACACGTCTGGTGTCATGTGAATGCAACGACAACAGCCTGGTTGATTGATTTGTTGATTGGAGTTCAGATGTCTACATTAAAATCGACCACTTTCAGGTTGCCGTATTCACGGCCAGGCAAGACCGACTTGAAATTTCTAGAAATTTTTCTGGGGGAGACAGGCCCCAACAAATCCCTCGACGGTGCGTTTCACGACTTTGGCGCATGACGGTGACCTTGAAGAGACGTCGAAAACCATTTAATAGACATAGTAAAAGTCATATCTTACGAGATTATCGCTGGTCTTGTCAGAAAATGCTATTTTATATATGACCAGTTTGTGTTTGAAAAATTTAAAAAGAAATTATTTATTCTCCCACCATTAAAGCACACTAATTACGAAATATCGCTCTCAGAAACTTCATGGTTTCTTTTGCAATTTGTTTGGGGTAAGACGTTATATAAATAATATCAATCTGTCTACCACGCAAATTTAACAGATACAAATGCATGTTATTCCACAGGTAGACAGACAGGGTCTCCTTTGAAGGGACTCAGTAAAGGGAACGCGGTTGGTTTAGAGTTTGTCTGACCCCTTTGAATATTTGCGTCTCATCTCCAATGAAAACATTCATATTGCTCTCATGCTGTTCTCAACCAGAATCAAACATATATCGTACCTGAGATTTGTTAGCATGTTCCACACAACCCAACATTTATCGGCACCGGGATTAAGGGTGTATATCTTTGTTTCTAACGCTTATTGGGAATACGCCACGGAAACTACAATAAAAACTTATTTACAAAAACATTCTAAAGAGTGAAAACTGACATATTTCAAGCTTTACTGCATTTAAAGAAATAATTCAAATCAGCCGGCTGAAACCCCGTCTCCGCTATTTGTTCAGTCATTCTTTAGGTATAGTGCCAGTTTCCACCGACAATGATATTGCAAACAAGTGTCCAATCTATAAAAGCATACATTCCTACAAAATGTTTCTTTAGTCAAGTGTGAAAAGGCTAATGTGACATAGAACAAGGTCACATTGATGTTGACAAATACGTAAGACGATATGAACATCAACTAAAAAGATATGTAATGTGATTCAGCTGCAAGGTGATATATGCATATATGCAGCATAGATAATTAAAACTTCTATTCAAGTTAAACCAACTGTATCTATTTATTTAAGTCTTACGTCGAGCTGAATACATTTTATGATTTATTGTCATCTATTGGTGGTTAACAGTGTGTAACTAAAAACTAAAATTGGATTTTATTATTGCCAATGATATAATGTACATGTAATAGCAAGTGTATATATATTTTTTGTTCAGTCTGTACACAGTAACATATCTGAGAAACATATTATTATCATTTCTGCCCAAGGCTCCCTGTGCCTTATAGTTAGCAGTGATACAAGGCAATTACCAATTTTCCATGTTCTTGGCCTGAAAAAATAAAATAATAAAAGTCAAGTTTTTATTATTATGCAAGTGGAAAAATACAATTATTCATAGTATGATTTGAATAAATACAACTGATTTGAAGTTGGAATTATTATTTGTCTAAGATGACTGGGCATTTACAAATTGAAATAGCTACTCTTCATCAAGAAAATACATGAATATTTTTCCCAATTCACCTGGATTTTATTGTAGGTCTTTGTACGTGAAATAGCTTTATTTAACGTCCGCTACCACCGAAGTGATATTGCAGAAAATTAACAAATTCGGATTCCCTGTTAAAGGAAATTGACTGCACTATCGCTGGATTGTATTATATAGGTCATGTCAGTTTTTTTCAAAATGGCGCCCAGAACACAAAACAAACATTGCAATTCAAGGCGGACTGGTGTCGAGGCTGTATACTAAGAATGATTTTTTGAATATTTAATCACACAGAAACACAAGTATGCACATGCAGTTATGATATAATATTAAATTAGCTTACCTCAAATACCTCGAAATATACTGTTTGGTCAGTTTGTCCGCCCGCCATATTTCTATTAGTCACACATCCTTCGGCCAATTAAAATGGACGTATATTTTGTTTTAACCGAAAAGAAAAATTTGCGTTATAAATAGTAAACGAGCTTGATTGACCGACCACTGCTAATGTTTTTTCCTGAAACAGTATAACTGCAATCAACACACGGCCGCCATTCTCGATGATTGACAACTCACTTTTTTTCTCATCCACCAAAGAACCGTTAGGTTTCTTTGAACATACTGTAATAACATTGGGATTATCAGTTAATCAGCTTTAATTATCCCGCTTTGTTCGTTGCCATTTCTTATATTTTCCACAAAAAAACTTTGCCTTGTACGCACTAATTTATCAATTGGTATTGCCATCTACGACAAGCATGTCAACGTGCAGCTCACGGATTATCGTTAACAATTTCTAGGGGCTTGTAAAAAAGATTGCATGTCGTGTAAATATTTATTTTGTTTTTTGTGTAGGTCATTTTCAAATAAATTCATCAGCATATTATTCGTTTTAAATAAATATAAAACTTTTATGAGAAACGATGATTATCAAAGAACCGTAAGTGCAACTAATGTTTTATCGTTTGGTTGAGCCTTTTACTAACCACGTGTTTCATGTTATTAAATATTTTCTTTCGTGTTTTGAATTGGCCTATTTCTAATAAATTATCCCGAGTCCCAAACGTCGTTAACCCGAGTCCCAAATGTCGTGGTCATATTTTTTTGAGTCCCAAATGACGTGAGTCCCAAATGACATGTAATCCGTTGTTCAACCTCTGTGAGTCTGTGTAATATTTAATATTAGGCCCCATTTTTGCCTGATTCAGTCACAGTTAATAAATAATGGAACTAGAATCAGCCTGTGGAAGTTTCTCTATAGTTTTATTATTTTTTCCAGTCAATGATGATATGTGACTCTTTCCACCTTCCAGCAATAATTATTGAGAATTTACCAAGGACTCCATTGGCATTGAATCGAAGAAAAACAGTTAAAAATTTCAATTAATTTTTATATTTTCTATTTTTTTTTTTACCAATGTCCTACAATGATTAGTGTATGTGAACATACAATCCAAAATAAAGTATTTATATGGCACTTACATGCAACAGAGAGAGAGAGAGAAATGACATAAACAAGGCCTTACATGTACTTGTATTTGAAGAATCAAGTAGTCCATGTTGTGCCTATATGCATACCGGTAATTAACTACGACGAGGATTAGCCTACTTCCGTTTCCACCCTTTCCCTGCACACTGTCTCATTCTACATGTATTAAAAATTGGTATGTTACTGTAATATTAATTATGCACGAACCTACATGTAGAGTTGTTGCAAGATGGGTCCTTATATCTACTTAGCCTACAGACGCTAGGTCGTTTCGGGAAAAAGGACAGGTAAGGTTATATTTAATATGAATAATTCGCTTACGGGTATGGGTATTTAGCAAAAGGAGGAACAAAAGGACCCAGAGATTAGAGAAGGTATGCTTCAATTTAATATGAATAATTCGCTTGGCGTAGGGGTACATGTATTTAGAAAACGGAGGAAACCGAATGACCCAGCGAAAAAACTCAAGAGATTGGACAGGCGACTCTACTCCTTGAAATTGAAACCATGTCACTTAACACAATGACAGACCCTGTGATTTCATGCGCATGCATTACCTACTAGACCATTCCCCCCAGCCCACCCCATATCGAATAAAAGTATGACTTATTTCAAATATGATATTTACATATAAAGAAAGTAGAGAGACTTCAATCTTACTAGAAAAATACTAGATTACCTGAAATGAAATGGGGTTTAAAGACAACGTCCTACTGGTCAGCTCCGACTGGTCTAATGCATTGTGCTAAGTGAAAATGTTTGTCTGGGCAGCGACACTATGGCCTACTCTCATACCGAATTCAAACTGCCAAGAGAACTTTTATGTGTACGCCAATGTGTACATTGGATCTCAGGGAAAACCACTCTGCAAAATCAAGATGAGCTTTCTCGGTCAACCCCAAGAGATAACCTGTGGCCTCCATGCTAGTGTGCCAGCACCTAATTTACTCACCATGGCCGTCTTCTAATTACTGCGACAGTTAAACCATGTGACAAACAAGGATTATTAAGATAGACTTTTATGGCTTAGGTAGTTCCTTGGGATTAAAACTTTTGATACATATAGATACATTAGTTTCAATTTCATATCACACAGTTTGTATATATGCTAAGGTAGCTTTAATCGTAAATTACATATCATGTATTTATTTTTTCAGTTTCAATATTGGATGTATATGCAAATCACCCAGAAAAAGATCATGTAATAACAAAAGAAATTATAAAAGAAAAAAATGGAAGAAGAAATGGCTGGAAAAAATGATGATAGAGCAGCTTTTTCTTGGTGGGTAACTATTCAATTCTAATAGAAAAGATTGTTATGCTATTTTGAAATCTAAAATTCAGTTTAGTATAGTAAAACTGTACACGTCATGTATGAGCAGAGACATAATCTTAGTTATATGTAGATATCACTGTCTCATCTGTGGCAAAGCAAACCAACACATGAAACAAAACAAATGTAATTAAATTAACATTTTTTTAATTAATCAAAACTGTCTAGTCAATTTAAGCCAACTAATACATTGCCATTTTTTTTTCAGTTACCCACCTCGGAAGATCAAGTTGGAAAGGGCTATTGATATTGTGGAGACGTTTTCTCACAGATCTTGCTTATCAGACAAAGACTATGTAAGTACCATGCATATTTGCTTTTTAAATCAGGAACTGGTTCTATACACTTGGTGTGGGGGTGGGGGGGTGGATGGACGTTAAACCCCATTTCTCTCTCTCTCTCCTAAATATTGAGATTTTTGTTTACTTTTAAACTGCATATATTCAAGGTATCAGGAGCTTTTTATGGCTCCCGTACAATTTTATAAACATAAAGGACTGTACCTTTTGAATATTAAGCCATCAAATTATTTTATAATTTTGAAAATGAAATGAAATGGGGTTTAACATCCTACTGTTTTGCTCATAAATTGGGCTAATGAAGACGGGCATACGCCATACAGTGTGCTATGAAGGGAATTTTGCCCGGGCAGCGGCGCTACAGCCTACTCTTATATCGAATTCCAATTGCCAAGGAATCTTTTACGTGCACGCCAATGTGTACACGGGACCTCGGTTTTTCGTCCCATCCGAACGACTAGACAGCTGTCCTTGTCAGGTCCTCCGTCCTGTATCACTGACAAGGGGAAAACACGCAAAATGTAAGTAACATATATATTTGTATTTTTAATCAGGAAGTACTTCTATACACTTGCTTGGTAATCTAGTTATTCTTCTTGGGGCAATGCCTAGGACTATGCTGTTTCAAGTACTTGGCATGCTTGATTTTTGCCAATCACATCCATTGATTTCCTTCAAGTTGCGATAGGCCCTACATGTATGTGTATTTTTACAGTAAATAGCAGTAAAATAATGATGGACAGTATTTTACTTTCAAATAGATTTCAATAGATTTTAAAGGGTAATATCCAATTTGTTGTCAATGGAAATAAAATAAGAATGGGTCCAAAAATAATTAGACATTGCCAAGTAAATAGGTGCTGCCATGATGTAGTAGGGAATCTGGATTTGCAGACAATACATGTATGAAAGGGTGAATAGTTGACCTATTATGAGACTTCAGTCCCAAATATCAAGACTTTTTTCTGACTTCTAACTCATTTGATTTGAGCATAATAATCTGCCTGGGACTGTAACTGGACAAGACACAATAAGAGTTACGCAAAGTTGAAACCAAATAGAGACTCGGTCTCGATGTGGCAAAATAAATTGTTTATTTAAACGTTGTGAACCATAGAAAGTATTCTTATTGCCTACTTTTTATTTTTTAGGCTGGAACACCATTGAAAGAGTATTTGCTGTATGATAACAACAAGAAAACCCAAGCATCAATTTATTTTATACTTCTGGGAAAGAATGCATTTGACCCAATTTTTAAATATTTATTTTTTGTTTTTAATGTTAAATTTTCTTCCAAAACACAATTAGATTTTAATTCTCTTCAGAAATGTATGTATAATATAGCAAGTAAAGTGACATATATATCACTTAGAATTTGGTCAGAAATCATAAAGTATTTAATAGGCATTACTAGAAACCAAATGTAGATCAAATACACCCAGAATTACAAAAAACCTTGACCTACATAAAGGTGACTTTCCCTTGCTTATGAAATGAAATACGGTTTAGTATCCTACTTTTCTGTGTTCTTAGAGTGATTCTGCCATACACCCTAATCTTATATCAAATATTTCAACTGTCAAGGGTTCTTTAACGGGAACCCGGGGGGGGGGGGCAATGATTAACACGCACACATTTGATCAGGAAGTCTGTCATTGAGTCAAATAATTCAATTGTCAAGGGTTCTTCTAAGTGAACGCAGTGGGGATGGTTTCGATTCCGGGAATGGGGGAGGGGGTGGTGGATGGCCGAATGGTAAGTACGTGCGTGCGGTATCATACGGCCTGTCATTGGGTCAACTGGCGTGGTTTCGAATCCCCGGTTGTACGTGACAAGGAGTAGGGTCGCCTGTCCAATCTTGTGGGTTTTCTCCGGGACCTCCGGTTTCCTCCCACTGCTAAAGACCCCTATGCACAACGAATTATTGAAATAAAATTAAACCATATGTTAATCCCGAAATGACCTAGTTTGTGTCAAGTGGACGTTAAACCCCATCTCTCTCTCTCTCTCTTTCGATTCCGGGCTTGTACCCAATTATCCCTTGCCATATCCAACACTACTGACAAGTGGGAACTATGCCGGAAAATCCAGTTGAAATTTCTCGGCCAACACCTTATACTCACTGAACCACTGTGGCTTATGACTTGTGATTGTATATAAATTTTTTGTACATATGATATTTTTTTATTTCAATCCTGTAATCTTGATGTTTTGCTTCTTTTATTTACAAAATATTCATTTTGTTTGGGTTTTTTTTAATGAGGAAAAGGTTTTACATCATTTTATTACTCCTGCAAAATAGTGCATTTTTCATTTGTTAGTTTTCTGTGTATATTAGTTATTTCTATATGTCTCACAAATCACTTGTAGTGTGATTTTGTAGCACTTTTCAGTTTTTGAAATTGTTTCAATTTAGTGCATAATTAATCTTAGTGCTTGGTTTGGATGTTATTAAATTTAGATATTATTTGAATTATATATTTTGGAGTATGGGGTAGGGATACTGTGTACATATCTTTATATTCTCAGTTCTTGTTTTGGGGTAAAGAACAATTTATATAGCTATTTTATATTTTGTGATAGGTAAAGTGTGTGGGGTTAAGAACAATTTAAATAGCTATGTTATATTTTGTGATGGGTAAAGTGGGGTGTGTGTGTGTGTGTGTGTGTGTGTGTGGGGGGGGGGGGGGGTCATTATATATAACACAATATAATTAGTATTAGAATTCTCTGTTTTTCTGTTAACATTTCAAATATCTATTTAGTTTTGATGTATTAATTTACTTTTTCCTATGATTTTATGAATAAATAATAATCTTACAAAAACAAAAAAAAATTTTGTTTCCTTCTTTTATCAAACTTTACAGGTCTAACAGCAAAGAGATGGGTCCTGCATAAAAAGGTTGCTATACTGTATATAAATTGGGGAAAACACAAGTTTCAGAAATTTCAACACAAGTTTCAAAAATTTCAACACAAGTTTCAAAAATTTCAACACAAGTTTCAAAAATTTCAACACAAGTTTCAAAAATTTCAACACAAGTATTGTGTAGATTTTCACACAAGTTTCAACACAAGTTTGTGTTGTTTGATAAATTTTAACACAAGTTTTGTGTTGTTTCAACATTTAACACAAGTTTTGTGTTGTTTCAACACAAGTTTGTGTTGTTAAATAGAGACACCTTACTTGTGTTGAAAACAACACAAGTTTGTGTTGTTTCAACACAAGTTTTTTTACAGTGTATTTACATGCCTTGAAAAGCGATGAAAGTCCAGTGTGGTACGAAACTCGTATTATTTGACGGGAATAGGGTATTTAAATTAAAAATATGGGTCTTAATACAAAATTCCAGATGTTATATTACGTATCACTGAAAAGCACGTTCATAGCTCTTTTCAAAGATGTAAATTATTTCCTGGCGTATTTATATTCATTTACTCTGAAAAACAATCAATGTTGGATGGTACTAAAATCTATTACCATGATTACGAAGAGGCCGCGTGTTGTTGTCCAATCGGGTACGCTCTATAGAGCTATACAAATAATTTTCGGACCATCATGTGACCAATTGCAGGTTTACAAATTAGATTATTTATTTGGGACATGATATTGTTCATAGTTATGGCTTACTACACTGGAGTTCTATTGTGTATAATAAACGCTTCCCAAGCGAAACAAAACATAACAATGTCACGTGACAATATTACATATGGCGATCCCCAAATCGAAAACTAGATGACTGGAATATTTATTGAATGGAAAGTGAATATTTTATAAACAAAAATATTCAGATTTGCAGTTTTCGAGCTTGGGTGGATTTGTGATTTGAATCTCGAACTCAGTGTTTTATACATTTTATTATAAAATTGTATTAAATGTTTTACATGAATGAATACAATCTACAATTTAAAACTGTACAATGACATTGTGATTTGACGCTCTACAAATCACTAAAAGTATAACAATTGCTTGTTGAAAAAGTGTTACTAATATGTTTTCTTCCAATGCTGCAAAACCTACTGGACTGTTGTACTTACCTTAATATTTTTTAAACATATATTCAAAAAGAATGCGTCTTTTACAAATTTCAATATAACCACAAATGGTTGATTGTTTTAATGCTAAGATAAGTATTAATGCTTTGTATTTGAAAATCAAATTATATAATATAATCGAAAATATTAAGATACATTATGTATATCTTAAAACAACGCCCTTCTCAGTTGCTATTTCGGCGAATATCATTTGATAATTTAGATTATCAGCATTAAACACCGAACAATTAGACGTTGTTCTTTGCCAGGTCCACCCCACCCCCTCTGAAAAACGGGAAACCACAATGGAAAATCAAGAGGAACTTTCATAAAGGTCTTAATTTGTCTCATAACTAGAAGTTATAAAGGGTGTCATGTACAAAGCAGGATATGCTTAATCTTTCAGAATCAACCTGTACAACTTGTTACCAGCCTTATGTTTTCATCTGACCTGTAGATGTAGCCTAGCTTATGTACTTCCCCCTTTCGTTAGTCAGTTAATTTTTACATCTTCGGCTTCGTCTGAACCGTTTGATGGATTTTAAACTACTTTGATGAATAGTTTAAAGGTATTATATCTTACATTTATACAAATAAATAAATATATAAATAAATATATAAATAAATCATCTTCATTGTCATCATCATCGTCATCATCATCATCATCATCACTATTTAACATCAATCATCGTCGCCTGCCAATTACCATATCTATTCAAAGCTCAATTTGTTTTAAACACTTGTGAACTTTACTAAAACTCACTTCGTTGTACGAGTTACTTTCGTTGGTATCGCCATATAGGAACGCTTTTGTATTTATGGATTTAAATGGGAGGGTATTTAATGTTGAGATAAGCTGAGACGAATAATTTGGGCAGTGCAGAAAATAATGGTCGCTGTCTTCTTGAGTATGGTCACATCTCCATGTCGGATTATGTGAAATATGCATTACAAATCTATGGAAGTTTAGAGCACTTTTACAATTACAAAGTCTGGAATTAATAATCTGAAATTTACGTTCTCCATAGTAACATTTTACTAACATCAATAAATACAAAAATATGACTAAGTCGAAAGTCGACAAGACGGTATACAAGCCAAACTGCAAGTCGAAAATAAGAAATTAGGAAAAAACGTGGGGCGCTATTATCGCAGTGTATTATTTCTTAATTTCCTATTTTCGAGAAGATTTTGACTTGTATAGCGTGTGTCGCCTCACATTTTGTCGTGACTGCTACTTTAAGACTTTTCGTGTTTTGGAGGCGGAAAAGTAGAAATTAAGAATTGTAGTTATAGGCTTCTATAGTTATGCGTTTGTATATATGACTGTATACTTGACACATGTACGACCCGAATGGCTGAATGGCCGGTAACCAAAGTAAAGTGAGTGGATCTATAAGTTATTATTCGTATCAGTGGAGTGGAAATTAAAAATTTTATTTATCAGTGGAACTATTATTTATAAGGGCTACTATAACTTATTTATTTGTTCTATTGGAACAATAATTAAAAAAAAATTCTATATAATAATATGGTAAATGTATGAGCAAGAGGGGTGGGTTCAACCTAACTAATTATGCATAATGTATTGAAATTAGTCATATTAAATATTTGATGGTGTGGTTAATGGGTTTTGATTGCATTTTAGCTAAGGCGGTGGCTTCAATCCCCACTTTTAACACCTTAGATTGAAAAAAAAAAAAAAAAAAAAAAAAAATGGTAAAGCCATACTCAAAGGGAAATGTTTGTTGTTATAGTCTTAATTAATGTTATGTTTTTATTGTTAAAATGGTTCTTACTCATGGATGTACTATAAATGTAGAGTTGTTATTCATTATTGATCATTGCTTGATAAAGATACCTGTAAGAGTATTGAAACGTTGCATGTAATAAACCAAGAAGTAGTAAATCCATAAAGTTGTGTTATTATGAATATTATACCTCTACTTCTAAATGTCATTCAAGGAACATCGTAGTTATTTTGGATTTTGCAAAAAAAAAAAACAAACAACAAAAAAAAAAACACAATCCGTGATTGACATTACTACTATACGGATTACTAAATATACTTTGTGTTCATTATAATATTTTAATACTGAAGACAGGGCCGGACTATAAATGAACAAGGTGGATCCTTTTGGCTTATATTGAGTAATTAGTGCAAGGTGTTATAGTTGAAAGTTCCAAAGCATTTTCACATTCCATGTCCGATAAATTTAATCATCATGCCACTACTGATTGGTGGGTCGTCGAAACATTTAGATGCATACATGACAACACCGTGGTTTAGACAAATTGCAATTGAACTAGTTTCATTGTTGTACACATAATGAAAGAAACTGTGTTATTTCACAGCTGAATTGTATGGTAAGAACCGTAGGGGACCACCTTGTAGGGAATAACTTTTTATTTTTAACACCCTAATACACACTTAAATCTTTCAACGGTTTAACAAGAAGGTGCTTAAATATTTCCATTTAAACTTTTAACCTCTGTAAATAAATACAAAAAGCAATTCGAAAAATAAACCACAAGTAAAGGAACCATCTCAGTGAATAAAGTATTAATATGCCGTTAACCCGTGACGCGAACCGAATGGTGTTTTATAGTAAATTAGACGAATAAAACATATAACGTTGCCATCTCGACCCTGATGCCCATGAACACAAATGCCGAGTTTAAGACAAACCAATGGCGGAATGGAATTGATTAATGGAATATAAATTTTATTATGTATTGACACTAAGTTTTCTGGTTAGACTTTAGCCTAAAAAACATGCGTGCTGATGACAATTTTGGCAGTCATATCTGAATGACTCAAAAACTGGTCATATTTCTTCTTTAACTTTTGGTATACTTAAATTCGGGCATTATTTATGGTAGAAAGATATAATAAAATGAGCTAAAGCTTTAAAACATATTTTTAAATATGTTGATGCACCCTAAATTGAATTTGAAGCACCAGGGATAAATAAATAAAAATAGCTATAATGCATGATTTTATTGTAACTATAGGTGGATAGAGATAACAATATGTGTCGGGGGACCTAGAACAAACTGCAACAGAAATCATTTCTTTGGGAACCGTTCAGGTATGGCCTCTAGTACTCCCATAACAAAAGCGGCCGTTATCGGTCTTGGGGAAATTTGAATAATTAACATAATTGCAAGATGGCCGCCAGTGGACCAGAAAATCGACGAAATCTCTGAAACCGTGTACTTTAGTGCAAATAAATGTATTACCGACCTATAGGAAATCGATACTCGCGAGTTAAAAAATGCTGCCATTTTATCCCTACGACCTTACCGTAACCAAAGCCCTATATAGGGAAAGTTAAGACAACTCATTTCCAGGCGCAATTTTGGGTCCCAACTATGACGCCACAAAAACCATGACGTACCATGGCGTCATACAGCTTTATATACTTCTTGCAGTATTATTATGTTGGGTGGGATAGCGTTTTACCTTAAACAAATTGCAAAAGAAACCAATGCAGTTTAGTTCAATGATAAATGTCAAACAAAATGACGTAATCAACATAATTGAATATGGCGGTCTTCAGGAATTTTCGAAGAGCCATATCTCGTAATAAGAGTGTTTTAGTAGTGGCAGAATAAATAATTTATTTTTAAATTCCTCAAACACAGAGGGATTATGCGAGC